GCCTTATCGAATAGAATATTGTAAATAGTTAGGTGAAGCCTTATCGAATAGAATATTGTAAATAGTTAGGTGAAGCCTTGTCGAATACTGGTAAACTTTCTTTTCTAATGTGAAGCTTTGTTCGGCAAAAAAATTGAAGTATATTTTAATTTTTTTTTGTAAGCTGTATTTTTAAGGTTGTAATTTATTTGTGAGTTAGAAGGAGCTGTGGGTCGTCGATAATGTAATGTGACATTCAGTTCAAGTTAGTCTCAGAAATATCTAAAACATAGTTGTATTATAAATATGTGACATTCCGTGGAATGTCAGGTGAGTTGAGATAAAATAGAGTTATTGCACTATTTTGTACAAGTAAGTTGACTTATAGAGTGTAAACGCAGGCCTAAACAACTTACGACAGTGTTAAAGTGGTTAATACTTGTAGAAACGTTTAAAAAGGTGGAAATATACCGATTTCATTTCATTAAATGGACTGGACCATGAATTATTTTCGGCCTGATAATTTAAAAAAACACGCAAAGAATATATAAAGAACAATGTTACATCAAATCTATTAGTGACATCTAAAAAATAACATGGAGCTTGCAGAAGCTACAAGGTCATTCATCATTAAAATTGATATTTGTTTGTTTGTGCACCTGAAAAATAAATTATGCGCACACAATGGACTAAATGCTCATGTCAGAAACTGATATGGTTCAGCCATAGCCAACCACAATTTTGAGCTGTGAACCAGTAGAAAGGCAACAGTTCAGCTGAACCTGCAACATGGAGAGGCTACTCTTAACAAATAGGGGATTGACTGTCACTCTTATGAGACTCCCACATCTGAAAGTGAAAAGCGTGTTTGGTTACATTACGTCTCGAACTCAAGACCCTAGGATTCTTAGATCAGTATGCTAACCATTCAGTTATACTCTGCCATTTGTATTTGCATTTATAGGTTTGTCAAATTAAAGTTTCATCTTACCTACTCAAGAGTTTTTTTCATTGTTTGCAAATTTTGTTTGTTCTAAATTACTCTCCAAATGTGTAGAATTAATTAAATATTTTATAAATACACTTTGTTACTGAAATAGTGGACTTCTATCAAAATTGAACCCTGAGGTTCCGTTGCCAGTTAAACAACCGCGTTTCAGATCTTTCCCTATTTCCTTATCTTGCATATAAATAAACATCTTTGAGATTTCTGCATAGTTATAAATAGATGAAGCATATGCTTAAACCTGTTAAAAGGTATAGAGCCAAAGTTTATTTTCCACCAGCCGCAAACTTTTCACACTTTAAGTGACTAAATAATTTTACTTCTCAATTATTCTCAACGAATATGTTCGCCCATTCAACTTTGAGGGTGTTATAACGCGACACTCAATCCCACTATTGATTTGTAAAGAGTAGCCCAAGAGTTGGTGAGGGGTTGTTGTCGACTATCTGCCTTCCCTCTAATCCATTACTCCTAATTTAGAAACAGCTAGTGCAAGATAGCCCACAAGTGATTTTGTGCAAACTTTAACAAAAATACAACAAAAAACTTATATATTCACTTTGTTATGAACACTTAAAAATAGTTTGTGTGTGGTTTTACGGTATGTAGCAATGATGAAAATATTTATCACAGTACATGTAACTCCAAATTAAGGTCTTTGTGATTATTATCAATGTAGATAAGTATCAAACGAAGCAAACGCAACAATATATTTTATGATATTTTATCTTTCAGTGAAATGTATTAGGATATTAATCCACACAAGAAGTATGGTTAGAAGTCCATAATGATAGACACCAGCACGCTATTACATATAATATTTTTTGTCCTTTTATCCCCAGACGATTGTAAAGAGTTAGATTTAATTAATTTTACTCTTATAAAATGTGTGAAACAATATCGATCCAATTCCTACAAGTTAAACACTTCTTGATGCCTCAATTTTCATGCTTTTACTAACATGTCTGGAAAAGGTTCTTATTCACAAAAAGGATCTTGCTAACTTTGTTCACAATATCACTGAGGCCTGATGTTACTTGATGACCCTCCTTCAGCTTTATATCAATCAAAGATCGTCAAAGCTAACCATCCTGATCATTTTGACTATCTAACTGATCCATAGGACTACAGTTAGAAACAATATAAGAAACATTGCCAAATCAAGATAATCAGAAATGCTACTAAAATGAAAGCATACAAATACATGTGTGTATATAGAGATTAAATGAATTATCGATCTGTTTTAAATGGTCTTAGTCACACTCTGATGGTTCCAACGAAAATTAGATAAATTCATGAAATTATATTATTTAGGCTCTAAGCTAGACTAACTGTAAATTTCCTGCAGGTTCATTTAAAATGTTTACATAAGATAAACTACTAAGTATATATAAGATAATTATATAATATTAAATAGACCATAAAGTGACAAACCAGTATAATAAATTATCCCTTGATACTGTTTCATTACAAGTTTTCAAGAAAGTCGTTGTCGTGGTTTGTATCCTATAAGATAACTTAAGTATAATTAGTAATTAATTACATACTAATTACTAACTGGTTCCTTTTGTATGGAGAATAAAAAGTTTGGACAATTTTGAAAAAGTAGACAAAACTTTTATTGTACAAATAAAACCTAAAAATACATATACGAATGTTGTAATTGTCTTTTCTATAAGAGAGCGTTCAGCTCCATGGCCTTTCTTTTATTAAGTTTGATTTCTGAGGAACCAAACATGTTGGTCGCCAAAAAGCAAGTCCTTCTCGTCGATCGTCTAGTAGAAAACTTAATAAAAAAAGTGCAATCGAATATAGCAGGTAAAGTCACTTCCTTTGTTCAGTGGAAAACTTCACGTCGTGACCTTTGTTTCCTGACAGCATTTGTCAACTATTACTTGCAGTCAATATCATAATCGGCCAGTGAAGGATATTTCAGGGCTAATCCATCTAATCCAGATGCACCAAACTGCACCAAACCAATTGCGGAAAGAGAAGATGTCACCTGATAAATAGAACAAAGAAAGGAAACAGCTAGAACAATGTTAACAACTTTCTAGACTACGTGTTACCGCTATGACAGCGTGTAGACTAGGTAACCCAAATAACAATTTAAAAACTTCTATATCACTACAGAAGGTAGAAACTCGTGATATTCCCACATATCACACTTCTTCCCTTCCATTTCTCAGACATGTC